AATTGCTGTACCCCATATTTTTATTCCTTGTTCAGCCAGGCCCTGCCCCCTCTCCCAAGTTGCTGTACCGCTCTGAGGAGGAAGATGACATACTGACTTTTATGCAAACGAGAGAGACCAGAGACTTATGGGATGCACCCAGACTGGAAAAGACCCCAAAACAACGAGCCACGCAAAAGGGAAGGAATAAAACCAGCACCATCTAACAAGGAAGACCCAGAGGAGTCCCCTGGCTTCTTTCCAGGGGCCGACATAACCTCAAGGAGACTCGACTGGGATGACAGCCTAGACTACGAGCCCTAAAGAAGGAGTTTTCCCGGGGACTCCCGTGAGGAAGGAAGGCCCAGCTCTGTCCTAGTGACAGAGCTGCACGGATCCTCCTCTTCTGCGGTGTCCAGTGGGAGCAGTGGCGGTGTGCGCAACCCCTCGGGCCCCCACCCCAGAGCTGTGCTGCTTAATAAAGGCCTTTTTAAAAGGAGCTGGTCTCCTGGCCCGTTTATCACAACTGGAAGCAATGCAGAATTCTCCATAAAATCACATTAAACTTGTTTGAGTGCTTGTCTCCAGAAAGCCTTCCAGTGCCTCATGCTCAAGGGAGCCCAGCTCCCAAAGGCTGCTCACACCCAAGCAGACCCACCCAAGGAGGCCCAGGGAATGCCCATCACTCAGGGGGCCATGGAATTAAAACTGGTCTCAATTTGCACAACATGGGACTGGGCCTGACACTTTTCCCCCTGACACTGTGTAAAAACCTGTGCAAGTCCCATTCAGTTCAGGGCCATTATTTCTCAGTTAGATCAGCTGGTTTTAGACCACAGTCACATTGTCTGGGAGCCAGGATTTGGGTTCAGTAGCGTCAGCACATCCGTCAAGCATGGCTCTTGCTGCAGCAGCCAGAGTCTGAGCCCTGCTGGCACCACAGCACTCCTGCCAGTTCAGCACTGACCAAAGGGCTGGGGGCAGAAATGGGATTTACTGTCACAGCTGGACTCTGGTTAGCAAAGGCCTACAGGATTCACACATGGGACACCTGGACTTTATTTTAACTTAAACACAGGTGCAGTGCACTGGGGAGAAAAGCCACCGGAGCAGCCTGGCCATCAGAGATTGTCTCTCCTTTCTGCTCTGCCTTCTTAAGTACTCGGGTTAGGGGAGGGACTGACAAGGGAAAGGAATTGTCTGATGGAAACGTAAGTCTTTAAGAACTGGGAGAATGTCAAGACCAGAAGTGAGTTTTCTGCTTCTTAAACAACCTCTATGTAAGCCTCGTGTCAGCCTGTATGAATATATGAATATAAAGACTCTTTGTTACTGAAGAGTTTTCCCCAACTGCTGCTGTTTCCTCCCCATGACTCATGCCATTAGCTGATGCTGCCCTATTTAATTGCAACTGCTGTTTAAGCCCACACAAGCTTTTCTAAAATAAAACCTTAAAAAGGCTTACTTGCAGTAGATATCCAGAAGTTTGGATGGATGGTACGTAGCAACATCCTTTGGATTAAACATGTGCTGCTTTGCTGGGCTTCCAAATAATGCTGAGCATCACAGAGGCCTCAGTCATGGTGTGTTTGAGCTGCTGTTAAATGGAGCTGGAAACTGGGGATGAAGCTTACCCCGGAGCCATGCCCCTCTTGTGAACACCATGGTTACATTTGCACTTTCCTGGTGAGCTCCCAGCTGCTATCCACACACAGATGCAGTCTTTGTATTTACTTTTTTAATTCTCTGGCCATATGGGCAATGACAATGCTGCAGAATCACACTGCTGGCCATCAGTAACTCTCCTTGCCCTAAACCCAAACCTGACCCTTTAAGGACTCATTAACCT